ATTTTCATAATTTGATCAGTCAGATAAATTTGCTATTCCGTAATTATTAACAAAAAAATCCGGACCGAGGAAGAAAGATCCGTAGAAAATAGTCTATTTGAAGCCCCCTTTCCCCTTCCTGCCGGAGACACAAAACTTATTCGCAGCTAAGAACTAAGCGTCTGAGTCGTTGCTGTCTTTTCAGTACTGCCTGATGGGATGCGTTACGAAGCAGACACACCCATGGATGATGGCGTCTGAGCTTTAGATTCGGTACCACCAATCCCAAGATGGCATTCTTCCAAGTTATAGTGGTCCAGCATCAAGCAAAGCTCCTGCACCAAGTCACTCACCGGCGTGTCTAATCCACCAAGCAGGAGGAACACGAGATTATACACGATAAATATAATTAATTTAAAAGGACTACGGTTGCTCCTTCACCTCCGCTCTAGAGCCATGTATCCGTAACAAGGAAAGCAGATGTACGACGGAAATTTGTACTGTTGAGTAAAACAGGCCAAACGTACAGAACTTATAGTACGTCCAAGGCGTGTGATTGCAGACAGATCAAGTGAAGCCCACAATTTTGTACAGAATTGGATTGTATTAATTTGGAAGGTAGAGAAAGAGTTTGACTGGGGTAATAACGCCAAGTACGAATGGAGGGGGATGAAAACGAAGAAAAGATGCAAGGATGCTTACAGCTCAAGGATCCTTCCCCTTCCGATCTATAAGTTTCCACCAGTCTTCTCCTTCAAGCTTAATCTCCCCAACATTTGAAAAAGATAAACAGTTCCCGGCCTCGTTGAATATCCGCCTGATTGGGCAGTGTAACTCGGAGACACTTTAAATGTACTCAATGCCAAGGCCACTTAAATAATAAAGGCACAGAGAAAACAGTATAAGCAAAGGGTGACAGACATTTGAAAATTTCTTTTGTATCAAAATCTGGGTCTCGACGCCACGGAAAAGCTGCCAAGGCCCAGCCGAATCCCAGGCGCTAGGCACATCAGTAATGCATTCCTTCGAAAAACACAGACGTCCTCGACTGGTATGGGATCGGCAGTGCTGACTGCCGCGGAGCCTACTGCTGGTGAAAGTTGAGTGACCACGTTAGAGGTCGTAGTGCCTCGTGATGTTGCATTTCAAAAACGAGAATTTGACATGATCGACGCAAAGCATGCAATTAGAGAGCAAAAATAGCAAAAATACAACATTTGTGGACTAGTAGGTTGTTTAGAATCCTCACTATTACCGGGCATTACGCATACCTTCTTGGGTCTGTAATAATCACCCAATTTGACGACGACCAGAAAATCATAAAATGGCAAGCACACAAAACCTTCAAACCAAGCCTTGTGCCAGTTCGTTTACTTCTATAAGCAAAAAAAACAAAGAATTCTGAAAAGAAAGGCACAAATTTAAATTTTGAACCTAAGTTCGTGCATATTACGATTGTACAGAGCTATCAAAATAGTACACTTGTAGTAATTCAAATATTCCCTAAGAAAATAATTTACTTTTATCTGTATTTGAAAGGACTCAAACACTAAGCCAACTCTTAATACAGGTAATTAAAACGCTAATTTTGCCGGTGTTTGTTTGTTTCATTGCCAAATAACAAAGGGACTACAAATGGAGAAAAAGGCCCCTGTTTTATTCAGACTAAAAAACTGCATGTTTCAAGTAATCTGGTTAAAAGGGCTGTAAATACGCGGTAGAAGATACTTGGCCAATGTACAGAAGAGCGCTATGCCCTCGAACGAAATTATAAGGGTCGGAGTCTTAAGCGCCAGTGTTATTGAAATGTCGAATTCGACAAAATTTCCAAGTGTTGCATATATCTCTGTTTTAGACTCTTTATGCCTCGAGTTGATTACTGGTAGCCTGTCCGCCTTGTGCTGTTGGTCGACACCGTGAGGGTTCCCCACGCAACACTAATGTCTTTTAACACCCAAATACTTAAAGCTTGTTTTAGTGCCTTTTTCTGTTTTCTTTTTTTTTTTCTTTTTTCTGTTTTTATGTACTCAATACACCGTCAAAAAACTAACATTGTCTGAGCTTCGACAGATCCTGCTTTAATAAATTCGTTGTTTTGTAAGTGTTCACCACTTTTTTTTCATGGAAAACTCGATGACTCTGAATCAACCTAGCCAACCTACATTCCGAATTGCGGCGCTATTATTAATTCCATTTCCATGTATAAGGAGGGGCTACTGCTGCTTAACTTCCATAAAATTAATTTTTCGGTTATTGCAAAGACTAGAGGGAGACGTGATACTTAAACTCCAAAATTAGACTGAAAATCCCAAAAAGTTAGGTCTTGGGGCTCCGAGCTGAGTATGGTTCTAGCTAGTTTCTACTCTTACAAATGAGCGTTTTGTAGATCTCATTAAAATTTGACCCTGACGCTGGGATATGACGTTGGGAAATGTGCTAGTTTTGGGACAACTCTACTTAATATAATTTAAAATAAATCTGGGACATCTAGTAGGCCAGCGAAATGATGAAGCTCTTATCCATATTGTATCCTGCTGGTTCAATTTTCACTAGTCTGCTCCATTGGAGGTACGACCGAAGCGTAGGGAGGCGGAGTGACGCCCCGAGATGTGGGTCCTCCCAGCATCGCTGGGTCGAGAACAACGATCGTCTGTGACTGCAAGCAGGCATAAAAGTGAAATCTATGGCACTAACGGAAATTTCTGAGACCACTAATGGCAGAAATCTGCCTATATTGAGTGTGGCACACACACGAAGGAGACGACATTTTTGTATTTAACACCGGAAGTGTCTTTTGAACTGTTCAAAGTTACTAGATATTTTATTAGAGCACAAAAATTGTTTATTAAGAAATTATAAAAAGCTTTTAAACTGCATAGGTACTTGGCTAAAGTTTGCTATTTTATTTTGTCTTCTAGCAAATGCACTGATCACTCTCAACAAAAAAGTCGAGGATGGCCTTTAAAAGAAGCGCTTGCCTTAAGGATGGCAAGCCCATTGGCCAACGTTATCGAAAACATCGTTTAGAGTTCTAAATGGCCACATAGATTTACAAAATTGCCCTAATCTCCAGGCCATGATGTCGTGGATAGAACTGATAAAGAAAATTGAGTCAGTCTAAAGGTTCCTTCAAATTTCACAAGATTTCTTACATGCACTCGGCTCATTTTATGGGACCTTAGCAATTCTCACCAATTTACGCAACTTCCAAGTAACCGTAATTCCAATAAAAGATTTCTTTGCAGATGCCAATCCCAGTTTAGTTATTTTAAATCTGGATGATTTAGTATTGCACCCTGTCAAATTCTAAGTACCTGTCGTTACGCGATGTTTTCGAAACTGTTTGTAATCAATTGTCGTGGAATTGTTAACTCACATAAAACACCAAGTTGATGACCTTTTAATTTTTTTGCTATTTTAAGTTTATTTCAAAGTTTGCACTAGATCAGTGAATAGTCTACACTTGATAATTTGATTCTAAACTCCACTCGTGTTGCTGCAGCCAAAAATCAACGGAAAGTGAGGATGGAAATTAACTGACCACTTGCAGCACCACTGCCATGCGGTCTTCAGGTGGCATGCGTGGCGCGGCATATGATTTATTTTAGGAAAAAATAAACCAGGCTTTAAGCTGATATCAAGATACTAGAGCCACTTACAGATGCTCCTCTCCGAACGGAATTGCTTGCTTCCAACTGGATAAGACTAACTAGCTGGGCCTCATAAATTTTTTGAATGCGTCTTGATTGGTTGTATGTAAGGAAGACTGTAGTTCCAGCCAGTAGGGTGCACAAAATTATTAAGAAACTTGCCACTGTGAATTGCCTACAATTTGGGAAGCCAAAGATAAGCCTCCTGCGCTGCTGCCTTTAATTCTCTTCTTTAAACTAATGCCTGGTTATCTGTTTGATATAAAGCGTGAAAGTAGTCTAAAATAAGTGGTTTTTTACTCTCATGTAATTCAGTTTTAACATTGCTGATGTTTGTCTAGAATCAATTCTGTCTGAGGGCGTCTCCGGATTTAGCTTCAAAGCGATGTTTGCGGCAACTTTAATAAATCTACTTCTAAAACTCAGCATTGTCATTTGTGCTGCTTGAAAAAAGAGACAGCGGGCATTTAGAATGGATGGTTGAACCTTCGAAGGCTCGCTACAGAAGGCTTTTAAAACGGTTCTATCTAACTGCTGAAATGATACCTCCTCATGTAACCAGGAGCTGAGAATGGCCTGATAGGAGACTGGATAACAGTGAAAATAAGAAGTGAATGTCCACGTGGAGTGTCCAAACTTGAGGTCATATAATAGATACATTCTTATTCACAACTAGATCTACCGTTGAGAAAGAAAACGTTCCTGTGGTGGTGGAGATTTGTAGCGCGGGTTTCATCCCCATCTCATGGTTGGTGTCATTGGGTCATATTATTTATCACTGACTAAGATAGAAAGTCCAGCGGAGACTGCCTCCCACCATGATTCAAACGACATTCTGGTGGCGGAAGGCTTTTCCGCCACCCTCTCAAACCCTTTTACGCCGTGATAATAAAACTCCTGCCAGACTAGCACACTCATTGACATTTTTAAAGTCAATCAATGAACGTACATTTCGGCATTGTATCGAAATGAATTGATGGTGATAACGGCAGCTGCAGTAAAACCGATGACATTCACAAATCCACTGAATATGAGAAGAGAGAAAATATTTCGAAAGCATTCATTAAATCGTCTGTGACTTTTCTGCGTCAGCTGCACTTCGGGTTCCATAAAGACTTATCAATAATTGAAAAGGAAGGTTAAACAAGTCGATACAGCTCTTCCATTCCTATGTTAAAAAGGCAGACTAACAGATCAACAGGTACTACAAAAGCTGTGCCCTTAAATTTGCAGAATGCCTCATCTGCCTAATGAAATTAGAAACAGTGAAAGGGAACACAACCTACTGGAGCCGAGCACTCCTCTAATTGACTCCTCTCCGGCTTAGTACAATATGGTTAAGGTAATGGTACCGACATAGCAGCAAGGGCGTACACAATGGTCGCTATGGCGTCAGCAGATGGATCAGCCAACTGTAGCTGTTGGAGGCATGGCATGAAATTAGACGAACCAAAGCTATGAATAACAACCCCTTTCAAGTGCGCCAGATTTTCGCATTTTTCCAAGGAAATTTGCTAGAAAAACCCAGAATTGTATCTCATTTTAGATTTGAAAATATTGTTTCGCTGTCAAATGAAAATGAATAAGTGAGAAAATTCGAAACTGCAATGCGAACGAGTGCCTACTCACGCGTAAACACTTTGCCTACAAGGGTTATGAATGTTGTTATCAATGCGGTTTCTTCCTTTATTACACCTACACTGGACAACACAACAATTCCAAAGGTAGTCGTCGGTAGATGCGTTGACATCGTCTACTCGCGCGACAGGACAGGTGACTCTTGTTGAAGAAATACTTGCGGTGACAAATTTTCATCACACCAGACAGACATCCGGATCTCAAATTCTAGCATTCTGTATTTCATGGAATAGGAGAGTAATTCCTTTTTTTCACTTCTTATTTTTTTTCTAATATCTCCATTATGGCAACTGAAGAAAAGCCCTACTGAAAAAGCGGTAATCTAAGCGAAAATTTCGTTGTTTACGTAGACTGTCATCATGGCAATGATGCTTTAATCGAAATAGAGCTCTAGTGCCAATGCTTACCCTTTGGTTGACCAATTGTGTCACAGTTTTTCGGCAAAAGTAGGTAGTGTTCCTTTATTTGTGTGCATGATTTGATTTAAAACTATGCTACAAAATGAATTAAAGGCTAGGAAAATTTCTAAAAGTTGTAGTAAATGACAGCCAGAGATTATTTAATGATGGGTCGCTAAGGTAGCAGAGTTGTTTACTAACTACTCGTTCATCATTTAAAGTAGTTACTCTGGGGATCGTAATTTGATACCTATTTAATTGTATGCCTGACTACTCCAGCTCTTCCAACTCCACAGGTTGTACCTCCACTCACCGAAAGGCTCATTCAGCCACGGCCATAGCTACTCAAGCTTTCTCTGGGTTAAAATGAAAAATTCTTATCCACTACTTGGGCTTATTACGACCTCAGAGGAAATTGAGAGCTAGGTTAAAGAACGGAGGTAGTCATTAGGGGAATCCCGTCGAATCCAGCTCTGACTGCCTATTACTTGACCAGTAAAATGTTTCAGCAGATTGTGGATGAACTGGGTCGTTATATTTTGTATGAGCTTGTCCCCTAAAAAAACGGTGAATTTTTAAAATTGGGGAGTTTATTACTAAGACAGCAGGTCATGAAAGAGTTCCGACTAGTGTCCGTTGTGCGGTTTGTAACATAACGGCAGATAGAAAAATGGAGAAGTTTATTTTAAAAATAATTCCTTTCTTCCCCACGAAGAACAGCTTATTCAGTAGGGGACCAAGTACTGGGCCTGCAAACACTTGGATCCCCTACGCGTGTGCCTTAAATGCCCTGCTGTAGCAAAATTCCTATTGACAATTAAAAAGATTAGACAGTTAAAACGTGTAAAATTTATAAATTGTTACCTAGTGATAGCTTATCTGAAACTTGGATCTCAGCATAATTGAGACTCTAGATGAAACTTAATCCTGCTAAAAAGAATGTGAGATCCATAGGAAAATGGATTAAAATTTGTAAAATTAAAGATATGTTGTAAGGTCAACGTCGACTTGTTTTATTCTGCTGCTCTGCATTATGATAACGAAGTTTGCTAGTTCCTTCGTATTTCGTGCATGAGGGGTTTTTGAGGCGGGATTTATTTTCTCATAATTATTGAGTACCAGATTTACCTCCTTCTTACCTTGTCAAACTTAGTAAATTCCATTTCTTCTCGCCAAAATCTCGGAGGCTGTTATTACCGTCATAAACGAATCTTTGTGAATATTTGAACCTTCTTATAAATCCTTAACTTTAGCAGAAACTTTAAATGGAGTGCGATGATTCCCGAAATCAAGCAAGTTATTTTCTGTTTGAATTGCTTCTTCTTGGCCAAATAGGCTGTTTCATGCCAGTAACTTTGCCCACCGCTTACCCTTTTGCCTGTAGATGATTCAAGAATTTGTGAGTCGCGTCCGCACGATCCCCTATGGCGCTATGTTGGAAACAAATGAGGCAACTAAAATTGCAAAACTTTTTCTTCGTGCTCGGAAGTTTGATGTTAATAGGGCCCTCGAGTTGTACAAATCGTATAAAGTGAGTCGTCTTCTGCCCCGCTTTCTATTTTTAGTCAAGAGGAGCTGGAATTTTCATTATTTTTAATGCGAATTTTAGCATATGCGCTACAGTAACCAACTGGAGGCCATTGACCCCTTGGAGGAGGGTGTTAGAAGGGAACTTTTGTCCGAAAAGTTTACTGTTTTGGTAGGACTTTTGTAGCTTTTCTTTCCCACTTGCTTTAAAACTTAAGCTTTGATGAAAAAATGGAAGATTTGGGCCCTTACAACTCACAGATTACTTATTGATGTCTTGGTATTGTTGCCCCGGAGAATCTTACTGTTCATGACAGCTTAATGTCACCACGCGGATTGGGGCGCTCATCGTTTGGCTATGTTTCTCGTTGGTTCTTAATGCTTCCCTTCAGTATCACCTGGGAACCCGTAAGAACAGTTGTTCAGGTTTGTAGACGTATTCGGAAATTCGGAATAGTTTGTTTTCTTTGCTCTCACTGGTATCGCTTAGACATATTACTCCCAGAAAGTATCTTATTTTGGTCCACATTAAGTATGATAGACTCTTAAAATGGCCCAGCTTTGATAAAGCCCTTGTGACTCGGGTAACTGTTACAATTTTGCTCCCTAAAAGCAAATTGTAGCAGTATTTTCCGCAAGCTTACTAACTTCTTCGTCATCTTTGACTAATTTTCTCACTTATTGAGTGTTTGATGGGATCAAAAACCGAAAATGGCCTGTTATAATCTAACCCATTAAAATTTGTGTGGATAAAGCAACTCAAAAATCGGTTTAGGTTACCCAAATGTACTTTGGTTTCCTTTTGATTATTTATTGTTCAGGTGACTCTGGTAAGTTGTAGAGTCAAAATTTTTTCACTACCATCAATCCTTATCGCTATACAAACGCATTCGCTTGTCTTAAAAGATTGTCCGCAATACCTTTTAAATGTGGTGTAAAACCTTACGCTTTCGCCTTTGGATGGCCTACACAATTTTCCACCCTTATTCAGCACGATGCTGCCGCGGCAGCAGGAGGATGGTTTTAGGAACGCTTTAACGATAATGCCAAGCCCAAGCTAGCGGGCGGATGGGGAGAAGTTGTGGGGATGGCAGATTCTTGTGTTCGCACTAGTTCGGGTGAATTATTTGCGGTAGATTTTGTGTGGTTAGCTTCGGTTTACGGAAATCTATACTAAGGGTGGATGGCTAGTCACCAGGGGAGGAGGATCAACGAGTTGGGGGAAATCAATAATTCAGGAAGTGGAAGTAGCTCATGTAGTGAAGAGAAACAATTTAAAAGTCTTCACGTTTCAACCATGTGGATAAACTGAACTGTTGAGACCTTTATTTTCTGTTGATAATAATGCGGTCAATTGATGATTTTGAAGCTCTTGGAGACCAGAAACAGACCCTTATCATCCTTGGAAAGCAGATAGAAGTTCTCTTACGACTAGCCACCCAAACACATTGAATCCCTGCAGACTTTACTTGCTAGTAAGAGTTCTCTAGCTAAGGATGAGGAAATAAATTGGGAACTTGAATAATTCTATGAAGAGCTATCTACATAAGCGAAATCACTCTCCTGCTGCATTTCGAATGAATGGGATGCTGAAGCTCTCGCATTCTAGCGTCGAGGAAGTAAATAAATTGGAAATTTGCTAAAAAGAAATTAGGCTCCCCAATTCTCTGACCCCACCTTTGGCCCCGAACGTGACCGTTCGCTGAACAATCGTGCGAAATGGCAGTTTTTCACGGGCTTTGTTTGATTTTGAGATTCTTTTAATACACTGCCACTTTTCAGTCGCATTCCTCGAGCCTGGATCCAACGGTGATGGTGTTTACAGTTCGTCGACACTGGCCACCCAATTGCACAGATAGAGACGTGCTCAAAGGTATCATCTACCAGTTAGACGCGGCTCTGCTTGAGTATGTTCCTCTTTGGTTTGCCTGTAATCCACCTCTCGGCATATTTCCATCCGATTGATATTGATACTTGAGCGTGTGTCTGCCTCTGTCTCCACCCCATCTTTCATTGCTTGAAATGGCTCTGGGTTCTCTTGCCATTTTCGCAATCGCGGTCCTTATGGTTCGAAACGCATTTTCTCCTTTCTAACGGAAGCATAATTAGACGCTCCAGAAATTGAAATTCAGTGCTTTGATATTCCATCCACAAACGAATCATGGGGCACTGTTTGTTCTCGAATCCAGGTTTCAACATTTGAAGGAAGTAAGAGTTATGCGAGATCCTTGAAGTTGGAGATATTTTCCTCCTGAATGTCAGATTTCGCGCCTTGAAAATAGTTGGCAGAGGAAGCGTTTGTTGAAAAAGAAGACTTATTTCTAACATTGAAACGGTTTCTTGATTGCTATGTTAGAGCCTATTGGTCATTCTATTTGCCGTCTTCTAAGGCTGACTGAACTTCCATAACTTCTGGGGTTAGTTCGGATCTTGGACACCGTCGAGCATATCTAACAGTTGTTGAAATCCTGGAGGTTAGGAATTGAAGAATGTGAAATTCCACCCATAAGTTATTCTCAGGATTTACCATTAAAACAAAATTCCAGAAATTCAAGGCTGTCCACAGGAAAAGATGAGGGGGAGTTAAAATGTATTCATCTATTTTCGTCTCATTATTATTGAAACAGTCTTTTAATTTGTCTGTCTGTCAACTTGCAACGCTTAGTAAGGAGCAGCTATGATTTTTCGAGTCCACCCAATAGTCGCATTGTGGGTTAGGCATTCCATTTTATGTGCTGCAACTTCCTAATTTAACATCCCTGGCCAAACCACCGTTTTCAAGTTCATTGCGAAATAACTGTTAGGTTCTAGGATTATCTCTGTGGCCATTATCCTTCATGAATTTCCTTCATTATGTATTATCGCCTCTCGAAAGCTAGGTTTCTGAGCTTAAAGACGATCATTAGAGGAATTATTTTAGGCCATAGGACTAATTTGGTAGTCACCTTCATGATTTTAGACGACAAAAGTCCTCCCTTGGAGGTCAGCGTTCAGAATTTGAAGAAGGTTGGTAGAGGAAGAAAAGGTTTGTGTTTTCTGAAGCCCTGAAATTCGTCCACCGATTTTTCTCTCATCCATTTGGATGACTGACCTTCTTGTGTTGATGCAGCCTCTGGATCATTGCGTCTCGGTTTGTCCATCCAATTCACCTTTCAAATCTCACAACTCAGTTGGAAATAACTTTTCTGTCCCAATCCCCTTTGTGAACTTTTTGATGCACAATTTGACATTTTAAAGGTCAATATTAAAAGGTACGATGTTATTGGTCATAATAGGGTTAACTTTATTGTCACAGCTGTAATGTCTTCAGCCCTTGAATGTTAGATCTTGAAGCTTGAAGACAATTGGAACTCATGGTCACAGTGTTTCATCCATGAATTGATTGACATAGGCACAGTTATAGCACTTTCATATCCTAAAAACAGTTGGGGAAGGTAGAAGTGTGACTACGTAGGAGATTTGGAAGTCACTCGCTAACTCCTTGCTCAAAAGACTTGAGTGACTTCTTCCGACATTGAAACGGTCTCAGGTCTTTCTGCCTCTTTTTGCTTCATTTTTTACCTTATATTTGATCGTTTGTCTACTTAATTACACAACCACCCTCGTATTTCTAGACGCCTTTAGTTCTTCACAGTATGAATAGTAGTCCTAAAGGTTAAACTCCATGAAGTAATCGCAAACTCCCACCTGCTCTAGAAATTCCTTGTTCTTAGTAGTCTGTTTGTATCACTTTCTCAGTAAGTGCACGACTGGGAAATGGATTTTAAGCAGTTATTGAGTGGCCACTCCTTTGAAACGGACGCTGATATCTCTCATTCTGTTTTTTTTTTAATTTCCAGTGAACAGACACAGGAACAGGGTGTAACCGTGATCTACGATATGACTGATGCTAAGTACTCAAATTTTGGTGCTGATCTCTCCATGAAACTGCTCAATCTCCTCACTGTGAGTGCTTGTGTGCTTGTTTCACTTCCTTATTTTCCATCCGCCTGTTCGCCTCTGCGATCTATCAGCTAATTTTTGGAGGTCATTAAAATGTAGCTACACAGACCTGGCTTATTTTACGTCATACTTTTTTCTCCTTAAGATGTCTTCCAGAACAACATTGATATTTAAGGGTATCAGGTTCTGTCTCTCTTCCGTACTCCTGACAGTTTAAGTTTGCGACATGAATATGGCCGGATAGTGAGGGAAGCGTGAGCAGAATTGCTGAAAATTGTTGAAAAACTTTTATATAGCGTTGAAAAGGTTTATAGGTCAATCGTATAATTCGCGTCTGTCTGTCTCGATCATGATAGAACTTCAGTTTGTTTATCGATCCCTATCTGACCTCCGGAAGAGATGAGTTAGTTGTGAATCAAGGGAAAAGACCAGGGATTTTTAAAGTTAAGCTCAGATGTTCGAGAGAAGAGGAACATGTTTTTGAACACTTTCAGTAACTGCTTTCTACAACTGGAACAGTGTCCATGCCCGTGTGCCCGTCCAACCAACTTCGAAGCTCCACCCATGAATTTGTGAAACATCGGCGCTTCTAGAAGTTGAACCAAAAGGCATTTGTCTATCCATCCGTCCCACTAAGTATGTAGAATTTTGTGTTCCATAATTCTCGCGTATTCATGAGTATGAACGAAATCAAGGGCTATTCCAGCAAACCATCGTTAGTCTTGATACGCCTCGCCTTAGTGGTGCGGTCAATTGTGCGGGTAGCTAACTAGCCTCCGGATGTAATTCAACCGGCTTCATCGATTAGCTCCGAATTTTACAATCTTGTTAGAGGCTGGACGCATGAGGAGAGGGATGGATGGATCCATCGTAGGTGAGTAAAGAGATCTAGGGCGCAAGTGTAGACTGCCTTGGGGAGACGTTGGTCTTTTTAATTTGATACGCGGTTGACTAGCTCATTTTTCTGATCGGAATAAGAATTGAGTCATACGATAGCTTTTTTTGACTATGAATTCAATTTGCAGAGAATGAAAAGTTTTGGCTTCGAAACGTGTTTTGTGTACCTCTACACCAAAAGACCACCAAATTTAATTGTTATCTTCTACTACTTTCTTAGTGTAGATTATAAAACACTACGTTTCTTATGGGGTGGTCTTCGTTCATGTCGTGTCCATATCGTCCTTAACATAGGGAGACATCAGCGAGTCGTTGGGTGGGATAGTGAAGACACCCTGCTTTGGTCCCATTCCAGACCCGTCGTCTTCCATATCCTATCTCGCTTAGATTAGAATTGCCTGTCAGGAGGGAACTTCCCACTCAAACCGTCGACTGACGTATCGTGTTGCGCGTTTATTTCATTAGCTGGCCAAATTCTCACCTTGCCAAGCATTGGTCTTTGTCCATATCTTTTCCAAAGCGCTCTTAGTAGCATCAGGTATCAGCACGTTTTGGGATCATGGTTGTGTTGGCGACTCCAAACGCAGTGTAGTTCCCAGAAGGTTCAAATCAAATCCTGTTGAATCAATCGAGGACCTGACAAAGCAATGGGATATTATGACTTAGAGTGCTTTACGCATTTGATTTATGAACTATGGTTAGCAGTGCCGTATGACCTTGGTAATTCCGACTCTATCTGATTATAAAGCAAATTTTTCCTCATTTTACAAAAGGAGGACATTTCTGACAGAAGTTGGCATCGATAAGGCGATTGAGTGCACTCGCACGATTTCTTTTGATAAAATCAAGCTAGCTGCGGATTTCACCTCTGTTAAACGTCTTTCATCCAGAAGTCAATGAGAAATCTGGTCCTATCCTCCTGCGATTTATTCCTAAACTGTTTTTGGCAAGTGACTGCCTAGTGCAAATAGAGGTGTTAATCATCACCCGAAGAAATATGTCGGGAAAATAAAGGGGAATTAGACGGTATCTCCTTCCATCCCCCCTAAGGTGCCACTCTTTCTACGGACTAGTTTGGCAGCAGCGATGTCTGAGACTTTCTTTCGGTCCATTGACTACTTCTAAAGACGTTTTCTTGCATATTTTCAGCCTTTAGTAAGTGAACGATTGCATCTGCATTCCATCATATATATCCACACACATCAAAAGGGAATCCAGTCCACTGGGAGTGGAATGTTACATGCCCTAGAGGTGTGGGATAGGTAGTGAGTACGCTGTTTGGCACTAACCAATGGTAGTTTCGTTTGCCTAACGAACTTTGGAATAGAACACCAAAGTCACAAGTCAGTTAGTAAGAAATTTAAAGATGTCAGGTTTTTACCAAGATACTTGAGAGAAGTTAAGAACAGTCAGCTGATGGACCTTGAAGCTTATTTTCTTGGTGTGGGTGTCAGTGAAGTGTTGTGCCACTCAATTTGAGCATTATAGGACTCTCTTGACTCCATAATCTCGAGTGCTACCTTTAATTCTTCAGTGTCAAAAATAGAGGGAAACTGATATCACCTGCCTTCAAGAGCTTTCAGGCGCCTACCCTCCAACCCTATTAGGCGAAGGTAGTTTACAGCATGTTCCAGGGAGCACCAAAGATCACATTTCTGCACTGGAAGTGAGGGAAGTGAGTCAAAGAGAATCAGGTTGTAAATTCACAACTGAAGTTGGGGATTATGAACCAGCCAGTTCATTAGTTGATACTTATGGCAATCGGATTTTGGGGCTTTTGGGGTGATTCATAGAAGCTTTAGCATGGTCACAAATAGCGTTACAAATATATGACGATCCGATTTTCTCATTTGAGCCTGGGATAGTAATTGCGTGGCTCAAGTTCCTTGTCGGTTTCTGATAACTGTAGCTTTGTACTTGGCTTATGAATAACCATTCCAATTATTTTTCCTTTAGTTCTCGAGTAACATTTGAATTGGTAAATAAGGTGGCAGTTAGTGTCAGTGTCAGAGCAGGAAAATATGTAAGGGCTGTGAGTGTTAGTCTTCCGCCGGAGTTTTAGTTGCGAAAACAAAAAAAACGTCTTGTGGTAAGTATTTGGAGTTGACAGTGCCACATACAAAGCTGCCGCAATGATGCATGGTTTTGAACTTAGAAGTGTTAAAAGTGTATCTCTGGGGTGGAAAGTAATCATCATAGCTTACGAAAGGTTTGTTCTTTTTGAAGATATGCTGATCAAAAGCTAGAGATGAATGTCACCATTCGCCGCTCAAGAATATTTTAGATTATTTCCTAATTGCAACTTTTTAAGACAAATTTAACGTAAATTGGCAAATACCGTGGCGTCACACATATATGACAGTGGTAGGAAACGTGGCATTTGAACCTCATAACCCCTGGTGTTTGCAATATGAATAAGGGTTTTGTCCACTATCCTAGCTAAGGTATCTTAATCAAACCGGCCAAGGAAAATTCATTTGGACAGGTAGCAGAAATCGCTAAGCAGCACTGTCCCGGCAGCTGCGAATGCAATCAGCCAATCACATCACGCTAGCTACGAACCGGACTTAAGGTCAAGCGGAGGTGGTTGCAGTAATTAAGTGGGTAACAGCAAAGCACATCACACTAGGTCAGGTTGGGTGTAGTTGGACTGGGTCAGGTGTGGTCGTAAATTGTCACTCTTGTGTAGGTTCATCTCATCCAAATGAGAGGTAGGGAAGGCTGGAATAGGTTGATTAACAAGAGCTAAGTTCTGTCTTGCCCCTTGTTCGGTATTCAAGGGTCGTCTAAGTCAAATTGAACTGCAATTACAACGGTGTTGTCAGACAAAAGTGGTCTCGTGAAACGACCAACAAGTTCCAAAACAAATGCAAACGGGGGTTGATGTTTTTTCAATAAACACCGTACTAGGCTTCATATTTTGTTGAAGAAATGGCTAGTTTGCCACTTGTCACTGGGACGATAGATCTGATCTGAGACTACGGCAGTGGTAGAGATAACTTCTTCCACTTTATATTGAAATAATTCATGCCTTTGATCTGGGCAGCCATAATTATGCAATAAATGAGAGCGTGGCGGATAAACGTTCGAAACAGGAATGGCACAGGCCTTCAGTCTACTGGGGTAATTGGTTGTGCGCTTGGCTCTGACCTCATTTCATCCCTCTGTGCTTCTAGTCTTTCTAGCCGTAATCATATTTTTGGGAGTATTCTCCAATGCTCCCAGTTGTTTTGCTCACTTTCGAAACCAGACCGTCGTAAATACATCAACGGCAGTAACCAGTTGACATGTTGAGACTTGCACAAAGTGTTATAGTCTATTAACGAGTTCCTATCACGAGGCTAACCTTCTCGATCTCAATTAGTGGTGTTTCTTGTGTGAATTGTAATGGATTTTCTTATGCCACACAACCCTTCCTTTAGGTTGACTAAATCGGAACAGGGAGGTTTATTTTGGAAGTGTAGAGCCGAAGACTGGACGAAACGTAATGGTTGTAATGCTCTCTTATCGCTGTGTTAATGTTGATTTTATCCCGCTTTGATTCTGGTCGTATCGCAGAAATGGAAATTTGGCTGTTTGTCTAAGGTTGTAGATTCATCTATCAACAGTAGATGCCTTCTGCCCGTAACATTTCGGTGTAGCATCCAGCCAGTGAGAGCGGAACTGTCATTGCTTATTCGAGGTAGGTTCACCAATATGCAGGACTCGAGTTTTCCCTTAAGTTGTTTTAGAGCACAACAGTCTGAGAGTAGATTCGTTTGGGGCAATGAAAGGGCCAGAGACCTACGAGTAATCTCAAATAGCAATTTAAGCTCAGAATGACTGCATCCCTTTAAATTTACTTTTCAGGGTAGTTATCCAGCTCGTATCCGTAACATCCTTATTGTTGCTGCTCCCTTTTGGTTTCGACCACCCTACCATCTATCTCGTCTCTTCGTCAAGGACAAGATTCGTGAAAGGGTGCGTTTCTCTACCTGTCAAAGCTTTTTTCGTCAGAGCAGTCTTCTTACAATCATACGGCTGGTTCTAGTGCCACTCGGCATGCCTTTTAATCAAGCAAACAGCTTTGTAGCAAGTCACCAGGCCCATACATAATCATTAAAAAATTGTCTCATTACCCTTATCAAGCTTACTACCTTTTGTGATCGGGATATCAAAAAGTGGAAAGGTCGCAGAATTTTTTCCGCTAAGTGGTTATTGAGGCGAAAGCGGTTTTGTCGATTACTTCCCGATCTTTTTGATCCCTGTTTTTTAATCTGCTTTAACATTATACTTCCCTACCCCTCCCTATGAGAGCATTTTTGTCCATTTTTTTTTGTTTTCAAGTCTTCATAAAATCGTTTAATTAATGTGGTAGTTTTTAAATGTTTAGAAGGCTGATCTCGTAGAGTGAAAGTATTTTTTATATTTAATACTGTGAAAACTGCAAATACTTTCTCGACATCTTTTACCAGGCATAATCCAAACTTCATATGTCATCTTCCCTCTGAAGATCTTCGCCATCGAACGGCGCCAGCTGATAAATTTCCTTCCCCTCACGAGCATTCCACAGAGCCTTGGCGGTAGCTTGCCCCACCGCCACCTCGACTGGCTCCGCACCTGCTTCGATCGTCTTGGCGCCGTATTGCCTAATGAGGACTACTTCAATCCCATAAAGGCTGTCCCGTCTCTCCTCTCCGCGTCTGCTACTCTCCCATTGCATAGCGTCGCCACCATGGCAGCCAAGCGTCGTGTCTCCCTCAATCAGAACCAGCTTCACCACTTTCCGCATCAGCGACTTAGCAATGGGGGCGGCAGTAGTGTGAATCGAGTCAATTCTGTCACGCCCTTGGGACGAGGTAAATGTGACACTTCTTTATCAATGATGGGTTAATGATGGACTTCGTACCTGGCGAGTGGTAAAGGGACAAAGTTGCAGTTCTTTTTGATGAAGACTACGTATGATAGCGACAGGGTGATTCGGGTAAAATTCTTCTGGCCTATTGATGTGACCATTACTGGACACTGGTTCCTTCTCTCATTTGGGATCTCTAGAGTACAAATATAGGCGAAAGATTGCCACTATTTTGGATCAAGGCCTATCTGGACAGAAAAATAGATCTCGGTGGGTCCATATCACCCAACGAGTGTTTCAGCATATTCACGCCGAAGCATATGACACCAGTCGCCATCATCTCGATGGTTATCGACCAATACTCCGGTCATGCTGTTCGGCAGTTTAATGACTGATTTCTCGACTGATCCAGGTGATGCTTCAAATAGGCCTTGAATCAAACCAATTACAAACCGAAGTTCAACTTGTGGGAAGAATCTGACCTATTGTGAAAGTCGTATCTGACGAACTACTCAAAAGTTCTTTCTCGAAATAGTGAAATTCCAGCCAAATCGGAAAGTTGACTATGACAGACGGCTGAATGACATCGGAATCAAACCATTTAAAAGACGATTTTTTTTTCTCTATAAACGTTCTTACAAATTGCATCCGCCATCAAATATTGTTCGCTCTTTAACATTCTAGTTCCCGAATGAATTCCACTTCTATGATGTTCCTCGCCTAAGAGAGGGGACGAACGTGTGCCATGGGGAATTCCATTGCAGGCACCACTTTGACTGGTCCCAATTGAGATCAGGAGGCTTCTTGCTGTAATGCATATCATCCGCATAATCTTCTTTCCTGTTGCTGTTGTTTTTGTGATATTCTGTGCGTAATAACTAAAAGTGTCGAGGAAGATTGTCAAAACGATGTCGACATGAACTCCGCGTAGGTTTGGGTCTCACTGCTCTTTCGTGCTTCCATCCTTCCAAACATGGGAAGGTTAAATGTTGGAAACTACGGCTTGAACAGATGGGGCTTAAATGCTTCAAACTCCCACATAGATCTGGTGATCGGTATAGCTCTGGATGTTCTAATGTTTTTTCCCTCCGTATAAAGATCCAATAGAAAACCATATGGAATCGGCTGTTGGGCTCTAGGCTTTGAAGGATCCAAACTCTTATGCTAAAAATCCTCTAATGGATTTGACAATTAGTTATACGCTAGATCGTGTCCGGAATGACTTTTCCCTCTTCCATACAAAGCCCTTTACGTAGGTGACATTTGAAAGTTGACTGTTGAAGTATGAGGCAATAAAGCTTAGCATTCCCTGCTGCAATGTCTCAATTGGATCTGGTAACCAGAGTAATGTACTGAATTATTCCTTGAATGCCTTTTCCTCGCTGATGTGTTGCCTTTTTAAACCTGTCCTCAATATGGGACATCGTTCCATCTACATTAGTTTTTAATTAGCCGACTTAAAATTTCCGCTTAGGAAGCCTCAAATGTTGGAAACTATTTGATTCTTTTCTGCCTCTGCCAGGGCTAACCACATGGACCTACAACCGTCTGCTCCGACCTGATGCGTCGATGAACAGCAGCAGCAGTGTCTCCGTTTCCAATGATGAAGTTACTACTACTACCACCACAAAAAACAACCAGGATGACATAGTTTCTATTACCTCTGCAACCCGCATATCTGTTGCCCAATTCCTTGCCGAATTCCCCCGCAAATTTCCCACTACCTTTGAACGTGAATTCGAGACAAGTATTCGACAGTTTGGTGGTGGTAGCTGTGGTGTTGGTGGCAATGCTAGTGCCAGTCGCTTTTCCAGTCGTATCAACTGGCCAAAAAACCGCTATGTGGATGTTCCGTGTCTGGATCATTCTGCGGTGCCGCTGCCCAATGATGCCTACATCCATGCCAACTTTGTGGATGGTTATAAACGCAGAAAGGCGTATATTCTTACTCAGGGTGAGTAGATTGTTGTCCTACATAGTCGAAAAGCGTTTTTTCTTTGCCTCTCTTTTTTTCTTGGTAAGGAGTCTTTATCCTATTCGTTGAAACACTATTCTTCACATAAGGGTCTTTCAAGTAAAATAGGGACTTTTGAGCTTCCTCACAATTGGCAGGACCACATTCCAAGGAGTGGGAACTGCTTTCATTTCTCCACATACTCATCCTTCGTCATTTACCTCGCACTAGTCCCGAAAAGCAACTTTGACATCAACTGAGTCGTCAGCCAGCTAGCTTCATTTCACTATCGATGCAGAAAGCCGTATTGGCACGGCGCAGGCACTAACTGTTCGTGATTGATTACGCTCACTGTCCCTGGCATTGACAGATTCGCCTGTCTACTATGTAATTTAATGATGACAACTTGTACGTCGAACAGGTAGGCACTCCACTCACTGGCTGAGTATTTACAGGGGTGACTGCCAAGACACTCACTAAAACAAAGCTTGCTTATGCTAATCCCTTTAGTAGTGTTTCCGCTTACCTGCCTGTCTACTGTTACACCAAATTATTGATCTTCTTTCTCTTCTTTCATTGCGACCTTGAATAAGGATATGGTTACTATTGCTGTTGGCTCTATCGTTGCTTCTGCTGATGCTGTCAAAACCACCTGTTGTCACCGCGTGAGGGAAGCAAGGAGCTTTGACAAATGGGGTACAGAACATGTGACCTGACAAGGTTAATCACGCGACCTCTGTATTGCCCCCATGTTTGTTCACTTCTTTGCATTATCCTACCCACATACTGTCATTCCTTTCTTCATGGCTAACTGCCTGTTTAGCTGGCTCTTCGTCTGCGATTAATCTCATAATCACGGTAATGTTGCAATGACACGCTGAAATTGGGAGGACAAGTAGCATATGCTGGTGTATTGGTGGATTCTTCATTTATGGTAGCACTTAACAGCTGAAATGGGAAAAATAAATAGTATTTGTAGTAGATTGCAGTTTTGTTTGCCCTGGAATTGACTAACGGTCGATTGTGATAATGGTAGGTCCTTCACTGGGAAATCCGGGCCGTAAGTAGTATTAGCAATTAGGTATGGTATTGAGCGTCGCCTTCGGCACTCATGGTCGTTGTTATACCCACTTCTGCATACTAGTTACCATAGTAACAACAAAGGCGGCAATGGTAGATACTTTGATACCTACCTATCCGCGGCACAGAACCACAAATAGGCTGCATTTGCATCACAGTGTGAAAACCACCGATTCCACATCGTAGTAGTAGAGTGGTGTCAATTTCGCATCGATTTCAGCGTTATTCCTTATGTCACACATCCTCCCTGTTGGATGAACTACTTTTTTTGGGCGCCAGGGTTGATTCTTTTCAGAAGTGTAGAGCTCAAGGCCGATGTTACGCAAGGAAAATTCTTTTCCAGAAACAGGTAATAGAACTAGCTGCTGAGTAGGAATTTACCATCCTCCCCTTTTGAAGAAAACTTGATGGAGAGAGGATTAGAATTCTATCACAATCTCTTATTTTAATGGAAATCCTTGCTTGTGTTAACTCCCTATTACCAATCCTGTTCTTGCTGAAAGAAATGAAGTCTCTGGGAGTGCCGTGATATGCATGCTTTCCCAAGTATGAGCTATGGAATTTTGTTGCCCCTTCTTGATATTCCATTCTTTTGTGTAAAAATTCACATCTCACGGAATAAACGTCATAGTTAAGATGGGCTATTGTTTTCTTTGTCTACATTGTATCTTCAAGTAATGTGAGAAGCAATGTGAAACTGCGTTTGACAGTCGATATCGTCTCTGGAGCATGTCTCACTTCAACCGTTCTTCATTAATCTACTTTGTGTTTGGCGTCTCTTTAGGGTGGGTAGTCTCGCGTAATTTGGGTTAGGTCGTTTCGTTTCTCGAATCTCCTCCTTTAAATAAGATTCGGTGGCTTGAGGTAGGTCAACTAACGCTGGAACAAAGTGTGTTTGGCGAATCGAGGACGTGGTCGGTTAGTGCACTGAACTCACACGCACCACTTGTCCTCGAATCTTGGACACAAATGAGCTAGTCGACCGGGAGCCGTGTTAGTTACGGGCCCTGGCTAAGGCTATTTTATTAAGTGGTGGGTTGAAGGTAGCTGCATTTACCCCAACCACGTTACTATTCTATGGTGCGTTATGAACAAATGAATAGATAGATGATCTAGTACATCCCTGGATGGGTAGGTGAATCTATATGCTGGTCAATGGATAGTTGGATGAATGAGTGAATTCGGTTGTGGAGTAGGGGAAGCGATTAATACGCCCCCTCTACTAAACTTGAGCGTGGTCAACATTGCAGCACGCCTAAAACTCAGTGTCAAAACGAAAAAAGTACCCTCGCTCCCTTCCTTTGTTGTTACTGTGAGGCATTCATTTTAACAACGGCGAGATGTCATGCTGGGGTAATTAGCTGCGTCGCACGGTGACTTGCAAATGCCATTCTCTGTAGTCTTTCGTATCAGTCAGCGAAATCATCTGCTTCCCTTTTCCGTCACATTTGTCTATTCCACTGGGGAGGCAATCTGGGTAGCGGAGCCGATTTTATGAATAGATTTCTTAGTAAAAGGCAAAGTTTTTTCCTCATTCTGTTGGTATTGTTTTTTCCAGGTCCCCTTGAAAGTACAGCGGTAGACTTCTGGCAGATGGTATGGACTACCGGCGCTTCCATCATAATAATGCTCACCAGGTAAGTCCCACTTGACATTTTCGCATAACATTTGTTAGTCTAGCCGCGTCTGATTAGTCAGAGCATGATTATTGGATGAAAGGATGGCTGGATGAATGATTATAATCTTTCCTTAACTTTTTCTCATCTGATACTAATCTTTTGGTCAGCAATGAGAGGATTGACCGTGGACGTTTGCGCCTGTTTCTACTGGTAGAAGGAAGGGAGGGGAGGGGAATAAGTAGATAGGTCGATTGCTATTTGATTTTTTGCAAACGGACTAATCCAGCATTTCTGTGGATAGAATAGCATCCTACATCGCGTCAGCTTAAAGCCTTGGTTTATTCTGTGTTGTCTGTGTATAGATCTATGTTTGAAAGGAACCGAAGTCTTCAAAAAAGTATATCACTGGGTCCATTTCAGACTTCGACGCTGTTACCACTATAGCGCTTCGCTCACTTCTGTAAGCGTTACAGTATAGATGAGTCTGGAAGCAACTTCATTAACGATGTACAGAGGGGCTAGGCTACCAGATGTAGTGGATGTCCGCATCGTAAGAGATTAGAGAGTCTCGTGTAGTCACACACAATCTTTAATCTGCTTCTCCATATTCTTCTGTTCCTCTTAGAATCGTGGAGAATGGTAGAGTGAAGTGTGGTCAGTACTGGCCTCCCATAGAGACCAATTATGGACACAGCTCTTCTGCTTCTACGGCCACTAAGCGTTTTCCACCCTTCTCAGTGACCAACGTGCAACAGACAGTGGAAGCGAATGGACTTTACCAACTCTCCCGTCTGCACTTGTCTAAGTCACAGGTGGACAGATCCCATTCTCATTATTCATCTTATTATTATTATTAGTCTTTAAATGGCTTTCTTCTTCTACAACAGAGGGGCAAGGATCCCTAGTGCTCTGCCTCATTCATCGAAGAACTTTCGCGAATCGATACTATGGTTTTGTGTGTAGGTTTCATCAACTGAACGTATTTTAGTTATTCCGAGGTGTTAAAAGAATGAAAGTGTTTAATACTCTACAACTTAGTGCTACACAGTTCTGAGTCGTCCATAAACCCTTCATTGAATAGATCTTCCATACGTACTGACTTGTTAATTTTTTTTGAAAAAAATGGACGTAGTCATGAGGAGCACGCATGGATGGATCTTGAATTTGTTAGTTACTTCTGATAGACTTTGAAAGAATATGCCTTTGAGTGGGCTCGGATGATGGAGGGTTGCTGAACATTATGTTGAATGGGTGTTCAAAAGTGTGGTAGTCGTTTTTTGTAGCCTAAGGGGCGAATGTGGATGGGTAAGCTGTTTCCACCTATCCTGACGCTTCTCTGGAAAGCAGATTTTTCAAACTATATGTCTGAAAAGTCGGTTTAGAATTCAGGCTTAACTAGTCCATATTTTTGAATGATTTTGTCGGAATGAGGTGTCTTTAGGGCCTTCCTATTGAAATCTGCTTTTGAACTGTGGATAGATAATGGATGGGTCTAGAAGATTTTAGCCCATTTTCCTCTCGTCGATGGGATGCATTTGCGGAAGCTGGATTTCAGAGTAGTGCACATTTCGCTTAAGAGCCTTCTTTTGAATAGATTTTGCCAAAATTGGCTTCTTGATCCCTTCTGGCCTTATGAGTGCTTTCAAATGTCTCTGCTAACACAGGCAAACAAATTACTAAGTATTCTTTCCTCCTCTCACAGGGTAAAATCACTGCATTCGAGCCATCTAATCCTACCAGCTCTCTCGCAGAGACACGTAAAATTGAGCACTACCTCTTCCTCGGCTGGCCCGATTTCGACGTGCCAAAGGAACCTCATGATTTTCTCACCTTCCTCGATGTCATTAATGAGCGTCTTCGGCAATCATCCACCTCGTTACCCACCTCCCCCCTCATCATCCACTGTTCAGCTGGCATTGGTCGTACGGGTGAGTCGGACAGTCGCCTCATGCTATTGGTCTGTTAAATATATCAGAATAACGTGCCTACGAATTAAAGGATAAGTAGCAGTTTTTGCACCCCATCCACTTCCATCAGTTCGTTTATGTGGTGTTCGAGATCTCAGTGATGCCGATATTTGATAATGATATATTCTAAGGGATGGAAGTGCTCTATTTCTCCATATACTTACCCGTCAGTACTTGGTTAACTCCTGGCCTGAAAAGCAGCTTCGTCGCTGAATGGTTTGCCAGTACAGCTGAACCCTCCCGAAATGATGTGTCCAGGTTTCGTCACGCGTGCTGTGACTCCTTTGATTCGGTTTAGAATCCGAATCTTCTGTGTTAGTCAGAACAGAAGGACGTTTTGCTACTGAGGGATCCGTTACTCTTTGAAATTGTAATTATTGGACAATGCTTGTGTTCGTTGTTCCTGCCACAGAATGATTCGTCTGTCTTCTGTGTGATTTCACGATGACAGCTTGTGCGTCGAACAGACAGACGCTCCACTCACTGACTGGATATTCACAGGAGTGACTGCCGAGACGACGAGGCTGTGGGGTATGGAAAGTAACCACTTTGTCCGGACTGTCAGTGGCGTGCAAACGCACGGCCGTCTGGTCAGCTGACCCACCTTTAAAAGTTTTACACCTGAGAGCTCACACACGGCACGTACCTCGGTCAACAGTAATCACTCACCTCTACACGTAGTGTCGCCACGATAGCATGCATATACATATTTGAAAGTCTCGATTTTACTTGAACAGTTGTGGGACTTATGCCGCTAATTTGTCAACTGGAGGCTGAAGATTCTTCGTAGCCAAACGCGAAACCTAAAAAAATGTCTTTTACACACTCCTCCTTCAGGCACTTCATACGTTATGATTTTTCATTAAGTAAAGTATAATATGTTTGCTGAAGGGACATTAAGTGGTAATCATTTTTGTATCTCCTTTCTTCAACAGGCACATTCACGGCGATTGACATCTGTCTGGCCCAGGCAAAAGCTGAGGGATACGTGGATGTGCCTGGAGTAGTTACACGAATCCGTCAACAGCGGGCATGCTCTGTTCAACTGGCCAAACAGTATGCCTTCATCTATCAGGCGGTGTACACGAGACTGAGGGCCATCATGTGATGGTTGTACCACTTCAGCCTATGGTTGGGTGGTTGGTTTGTTTTTTCTTCCTCCTTTCTTCTCCTTTTGCATCGCACATACCGCGTCAGGAGAAAAATCAGAGTGGATTTTTGTGAAGGCTGCCTTTTATGCTTTTTTCCGTATCAAAGGGACGAGATTGACCCTCGGTTAGATTGGTCTTCAACGTATTCGCTACCATCATCTCGGCGAGAAATCAGCCACTGTAGCTCGGACGTGCTTTTTTGCTCCGGTATGCCACCACCGGCTACTTAAACCAAATTCTCGGACCAAAAAGCGTCACAAACCTGTCCCATTGTGTTTGCTAAAACAATGCAGAACGTACGTCACTTATTTGTGTCGTCAGGCTCAGATAAAGGTCAGAACTTGTCGTCGGTTGGACATTTTTTTTTCCAATGTCTATGTACATATTTATTTCCAATTTCAAATCCAATTGTCTTTATTTATTATTTTACAAACACAGTTGAATAATTATTCGTCGAAGGGACTCTGTGGGATTCATTCCCTTCACCTGGCTTTACCACCACTATCACGTTTTCATTCTATGAAATGGATCGCTGCTCCCATGGGGGAACATGAAATGGAAGCCTACCAAAAGGGCATTCCACTTCAATCTCTTTGGTGGTTATCCTCAACAGTTTTTGGCCGTCCATGGAAGACGTCTTCTTCCATGACGATTGTATATTAATGATTAACCCACGGGGTCGAGATTGTTGTTAATTCAAATGGGATTTCCTTATCTTTATTACCACCTTAATATCCCGCTTCTCCCCTATAGCCGTGGTAGACCATATTGATACGAGGATGGGTCATCTGCACGAAGGAATAGCTTGGACGCCGAAATGGTGACCTGATTTCATGGGGAGTGCGAAGCCCATTTGGTGTGTCTTGTTACGTCAAGGTGAATAGATTGTTCATTTTTGCACAAAATATTCGCACTTTTATGGCCAACAGTTGTTCGGAGCCTCAGAAGAACATCGGTCTCGGTCTTTCTAGGGTGACCTACTAATTGCCAAAGTAATTGCTTTTTAGAATCAACAAAGTGTATTTCAAGTGGCTGCCTCACAACCAAGGTCACTCAGTATAATCTATCCTTGACACTTGATTAGGTCGAAGGAACACGTGTCACACGTTTGTGACTTCGGGCTCACATTGTACAACCTGGATGTCACATATATGTGACAGTGTTGGTGATGTATTTCAAATCATTTTTGGAAGTATGTACGTCTTGGGGTGCAGTTATGGATAGCACGAATTCCCGCTTAACGAATACGTTTTGTGCGTAAAGAATGGTGGTTAGTCGCATTTGCGCTCAGCGCTAGATTCCACTATCATTTCTCGGTTTGATTTTTTATGGTTATCTCGATTACCAATGTTAGTATGAATGCGTCCTTTTTTGCTCCTCCACGTAGCAGCCTTTATTCCTCTGCGAATAGAGCGTGTATTAAGGTATATTTCTAGCTGGATGTAAGTGGATGAGTGGTTCCCCCATTTTCTCTCACTACAAATGGGTCTTGATTACCGTAGTTTGTAAAATCAGGTCCGATACTGGTTCTTTTCACCGAGACTCCTGCGTCGGTCACACAGATCTGACACGTGGAATATTGTGACCTGGATGGGTAAGGCTGTCTTTCTGGAAGTGTATAACAGAGGGGGTACTGACTGTTCACGGTCCCACTTGTATCCATAGCCCGGATGCCAACAGTAAGGCGGTCCAATTCCGGTTTGTTGCTACTTAGTACAGATCTATTTTTTCCTAATTTTACATATGAGCCGCTTGGGAGGGCACTGTATTCTGGTGTAGAGGGAACCTAGCGGGATGCTGTGGCTGTACTCTGCGCCCTGACTTTAGGCTTTACTACGAAACTGAGGACATAGCACATTCTATACTTCAGGGCAGAAAGAGAACATTGCTGTTCCGCAATTAGACAGTTCAAAATACTCGAGGAACCCCACCCAGGTTAATTCCAGCCTCACCTCAAGACGCATAAATGATATTCCTGGATGGTATTGACTTCGCTTTGATCGCTACCTCGATCCGCTTGTTTGAGACTTGAAATGCCGCAGACACTACTGCAAGTACAGGTGTTTAAATATATCAACAAAACCAAGTAATAAAAGCAAAGTCGTACATATGAATACCTTCTTCTGAAACTACCACAAAAAGTTTTGGTAGTCCCTAGGTGGGTCTCTATAACGGAGTCAATACGCTCAAATAGGTGTGAATGACAGCAATAATTGAAGAACAAATTCTAACTCGAATTATGAGAATGATATTAAATTGGAATAATAGCATTACTAAGTAGGAACTCAGTAAACATCCCCTTAAACTGCCAGTAGAGCGCACTTGAAGGTCAGTCCTCGTTTGGCAATAATCTTGGGAACTACTGTAGCCTTCCAAGATCTCCATGAAGACAAAGGAAGACACAACATTCGGAGAGAACATACATATTTAACACGAAGGAGATATTTTGGCTACTGGCATGGCCCGAAGGCCAGCCCACCCGGTGAGGCGCAAAGGCCAAACCAAAGGTGGCTCCTCACCAAAACCGCACGGCAATATCGGTATGATTTTAGGGCAAATGACAAAAACACTTGCCATTAGTGTGCAACTCAAGTTTCTAAAATGTTTAATAACACTTCTGCTTGGTATTAAACTTTATAGCCAAAGCTAACTTTGCATGCCCTTTAAGGATATGATTAAAGTGTATACGTAAACAACCCATCATTCTAAAGACTCCATTCTCACTTGCTACTTCCATTATCGCTTTTGATTTAAAAGTTTGTGGTATAATATAACAAAGTTTTTAATTTTGTTTTTGTTTTATTTTACGTCTTCCGTTTTTATCTTTCAATGCCGTCGACTTGCGCAAGAATCGGTAGGCCGTCATTTTAATTCGCTTGTGGTTCATCCCGCGTGCGCTTTGCGTTATGACTTTTGTGACTGTTTTGGGCGTATTTGGGTCAAACGGAACTGGAAACAAGACTGACAAATTTCAAAAGCTATTTTATGATGGTAAGTCTTATTGGCTTTCTCTGTTTATGCAAGTGCTTCGGATGGGTACGTTTTGTTCCTTTTTATATCATCTCATTTTGGTAGTAATTGATACTGTGTTAAGTTTCCTTTTTGATATTTTAATACACCTTTTTGTTTGCACTTTTTGGTAACGCAGTCTAACTGTCAAGTATAATTCATTTGGGCTTCTATTTTTGGACCCATTTTTCCGTATCAGTTTTTTAGGTCCGTGATTTCTTAGAAGGACTTGAAAACTCCAGTTCTTTTTCACATATTAACATTTTAAGGTCTTGTTACGGCTCTTGGAATTTACGCCTTGGATGTGGATGCTGTCGTCGCCACGTCTGCACCGGCGCCTGCCTTGACGAAAACGAAAAAGTGTATGTTTTTCATTTGTTGTTCTACTTGCCGAAGGATTTGCCTTAACTACGCCTCTTTTCATCTTTGACTTCAAGTCTAACTTTGTGCATTCTCATCTAGTTTGGCCTCTTTATCCTGCCACCAACATATTTTGTGTGAAGGTTTCCCTGAAACTAACTTTGGGCATTGAATAGGGCAGGCGCATGTTTCCACCTTTTGGGCTCCCAATGTAGTATAGCCTTTTCTACTTGGTTAGGTTTTTGAATTGTTAGAGGATTATTTTTTCTTCACTTGGGGTTTTGCATTTTAAGTCCTTCAATCGTTGCTTAGTTTCTGGGTTGTTTCTTGCTATTTATCCATCGTTCTGCGGTAAGAGTTCTGTTCGTGAATCTTTTGAAATTGGCCTTTTTATAAACTACATTACTTTACTCAGTCTGGTTTTCTTCGTACCTTACCCATTTGGCTTTACTAGCTGTCGCGACATACAAACTATGCTCTTACGCCATTTTGTATTGTTTCACGCTTTATGGCAGCCGCTCTTTGTTACATTTTCTACCCACTAAAGTGATCGATTGGGTATAAATTTAGATTTTGTAAATATGAAAAATGTAACAAGTTTTACCCTCCCTTTGTTTCCATAGCCCGTAAACAGGTGTTTTTTGTCTATTCAACTAACTTTCTTATTCTGATTCTCTTCCATTATAGCCACCCTTAAGCTTCGTTTTATAATTTTTCATGAATGTCATTTTTTCTTTTGGAGTTGTGGGATTCTCATCAGAGTCTCTGATCTTGCTATTTTATTTCGCTTTGATTTTAAAGTCCCCTGATTTATAGTTTTCCATGGACATTCTCCATCAGTGTTCAGAACTTAGCACATCATTCACTCCGACTTCATTTTCCATTTTACTAGATCAGGTTTTATTACTGATTTTCGCTCTACGGCAATTTTTGCATTCCATTGCATTGTTTTGCCTAGGCAATATCAAAATCCAGTCTTGATTCCATTCGATCCAATCTTTGCTTTCATCTAGCCCCTCACTTATGCCTTATCTTCCTGCACTTTGACCATGGTTGGTATTATGTGTCAGGGTAAATATTGGGCAATTTTCCTCGTCTACTTCGATTTATGGAACTCGGAAGCCAAGTGCATGAATAATTTACATTTTTCCACAAGTGGTTGATGCTGCACTATCTTATTCTGGAGTCCGCTTCGTCTTCAGTGTCAATTTCCTGCGCGACTGCTTTCACCAGGATTTTTCCGGCAAGTTCTTTTGCAAATCCCGCTTCGTCATCATGGTGGGATGATTAATAGTGTAAAAGAAGCAGTGGAATGTGATGCGTGTTCCACTTTTACAGCGCAGCCTCTTGTTCCATCTATGCGTCGATTTTGTAATGCCTGAAAATAAATTCCTTCATATTTTTTAAATCATGACTTAATGTTTGTGGTTCTTTTACTTATATGTTTGCTCTTATAATCTGATTCATAAACTACTTTTAAGACTAACTTTTATAGTTGGTCAAGGTTCAGGTACTGCCTTGCACTAATCCTATTTTGTCCATTCCTGCTTCACTTTTCCTTTCGGTGTTTGTTTTTCAGTCTATAGGATTTGGACTGCATAGATTTCAGAAACGTGACACATCTTCCACTGTTTTAAGATTCCGAAAAGTGGTTTGGCTGAAATTGAAGTCACTTGGTTCTAGACCTTGTTTCTTTCTATTTCCCAGCCTGCTTTAAACTTCCCATCTCAGTAACCAATCTTTAAACCTTATAAACTGCTTCCAAACTGGGCTCAACTTCTGTCGACAGGCAACTTTTCGCTGGAAATATTATCGAGATCCTAATTATCAGTCCCGTTGAGTTCGGGACCGCCTTACCCTTTTTTATGCCCAATCCGCTGTTTTACCTAGAATCAAAGGTTATATATTTCCTTCTATTGTGGTTTTAAATAAATTATGCTTCCTTGTGCCTAAATTTCCAGTGTCACCCATTCCGGTTTTAATTCTAAGTGAGTTGATTGGTCTTAAATTTGACTAACTCTGGAATTCGCTTTGTGGATTCTGGAACCCACTTTGTCGTCTACTCCTACCTCTAATTGTGCATCACCTGATTCCCTGGTTTGCCACATTTTCCTCTTCCAACCTTGATTTCCACCTTGTTTACTAAAAATTGGCATCGCTTCTCCCATTTGAGCCTGTGGGAGACGCTTTTTTGGAAAAGTTTGAGGCCCAACTTAGTTGGGAAATATTACCGAAATTGCATTCGGCAGTGTCTATTGCGGGATGAAGGAAGTAGAAAGGATAAGAGGTTGATGTGTAACGCACAAATTAATTCGTGTTCTTATGCACCGCGGGAAACAAGATGTAGATAGAGCGATGGATGAAATGTAAACACACGCGGTCGAACATGCATTTTTCGCGTTGGCGGAGGGATGAGTGAGCGAGCGGGCTATCAAGCTGAATCACTCGTTCTGCCCCCACGATTATCTTATTCCGTTGGCCCTCTATCACTCCCTCGACGTTTAACCGTGTCAACATGGTGAAACACACGGAACTGTCTAGCCCGTTTTTATTGTAAGTGCTTACTTAAAATTAGGGTCGGATTTTCTGCCTGTAAGAGCTTCCCCTCTCACTTTGCGCACAGTGGTGGATCAAACTCTCTGCCCCTGCACTTGTTAGTCGCTGCGTGAGATACTCCAACCCCGCTGATTCACTCTCGTGCGCGTGTTATGCGTCCTTGCCTGCCTGCTTACAATCTGTGTGTGCTTTGCCTCTGCCTGCTTGTTTGATTTACTGCGAAATAGCATGCGTTCGCAGTGCTACCGCCAGCACTTCTGCCATTCTCAACAGGAAAGTAGGGTAAAGCCCCTGCTTTAGCCAATGGTTAGCGAGTGAGTGTAGCTGTTCCCTCTACTGCTGACACTAACAATAATGATGTTTTTATGGCCGCTGCTGGCAACACGAGTGACACACAGAGGTCTTTGTGTGTGTTTGTGCTTTGTTACCGTAGTGGATGAGTCATCACCCATTGCCGCAAAAGACGAAATTACTCTAGGTCAGAACGCCATCGACCCACCGCCATCCGCTTCCCCTCAAATCCTTTTTTTGGCACGATGTAAGCTTTGCCTCAATGCCTCCTTCACTGCTCAAGGTCGCAGAATTTTTCCCCATTTATGAGCGTGTGTACCGCCATCGCATGGATCCCTCACATATTTTCATGCATAAATTTTTGCTTGTCTTGTTCTTGTGAGTTTATGCTTTAATAGTTTAGTAACAACCACGTATAGTGTGTGAAATTTGAGATTGTTGCCCTGCTTCATTACCGTTTGTTGGGAAATTTGCCTGGGGTCTGTCTCACCCACCTGGCAGGTGGTTTGCGAGAATGGAACACCAAGGCTAGGCTCTGTAGCCATTCCTCCACTTTAACAGTGATACTCGATCCCCTATCCGGGTTATTGTCTGCCTCAAAATAACCACTTCATCAAATCACGCCGCTTTCACCTTCGGGCTCGTTCGAATCTTAGTCAGAGATTGGGACGGTTGCTTTCTTCTTTAGCGTCCCTGAAGATTTAGTTACCCGTAGCAAATGTCTTCTTTTGTTGGTGTTTTGGTGTTGCATCCTGCCAGCAAAATCAGGATCATTCCTTCTTTGGGATGGGTTGTCGTACCGCTGCCACCAAAGTAGTGTCCCAATTGTCTCTGAAGGTAGTTTTTCGTCGGCATGTAGAGAAGGGGTTTGAGATTAATGACCGCCGTGGTGGCTAATCTGCGGAAGATTGAGGAGGGTTGCGTTATACGAACGTGTTTTCTTCTCGCATTACTGGTAAACAGCAATGATATCGGCTTACATTTTCCACACGTTTAATCACTAATCGATAGGAGTAAATTAAAGAAGACGCATGCTTTTCTCAGGACGACAGACAGGCTAGTAGGTCGTAAAATGATGATTATGCTGTAAGGTTAAAAAACTATTCACGTTCTTTCGTGTTTGTGTGATTCATAGTCAAGATGGCATCTCGTGTTATGTATTTCATTCTGTACTGATGATGGTGACGAATCCGCCCTGCTAAGTACGTCAATGGGATTAGGCGAATAGAACTTACCTCCACTTTGAAACAAATCAGTGTCTTCGAAGTAAGATGGATGGATCCAGTCGACAAAATTATTGCAATGTTGCCATAGGATTGTTTTACTTGTTAAACTTCATGCATAAGTCATGCGCAAATTTATTGCGCCGTTGAGGAATTGTGTTGTTCCCCCAATCTCTCAAAAGAGATAGGCCTGTCAGGGCTTGCTCTTCTTTTTGTAAGTAATTGGTATTGTAACGATGCGGGTAAAGGTGGGAGCAATTAGGAATTCATTAATGAAATGTGTGCGAAAAGGCCCTTTCAAAGTGAATTCCAAGAAAGTCCCTTTTACATTTGCGTCTTTGGGAGTTGTAGCGAGGCGTCTTTAATCTTCTAGGGAAACGACGGTACAGCAGGATCTCCTCTTTTTAGTTCGGTAGGCTCTTTAAGGCTCATCATTTATAAGCAGCATTTGTGCGAGGAGAGAGTTGTGGGATTTGTTCATTTATGTTATCGTTCCGTACCTTTTTTCTGAATAGAAATCTGCTTGACATCTGCGCGCAAGCATTTGACAGGCCGTTAACATCGGTTCGTGCACTTCTGCCAAATGTTGATACTTGAAGGTGCAGAGGAGGCATTGTTTCTGTCGCATAAGGCATCGATTCGTAAGATAAAAGGATCCCCTCAAAACTCATCAATGCTTCCAAAGCCTAAAGGAAGGCGACGCGAAAAATTTTCAGGATGTACTTTTAGGCTTATCACTTCCTATTTTACCTCTATTTCTAAATGTGCTTCCTTATAGGCGTTGAGATTCTGAATTCACAGGTAACCCTAGTGGTCTCGTGAAGCGTTGGTTCTCATAAAACTGATATTTGTAAAGAGCACGAAATAAAAACGATTTCCTTCAGGCATTATGCGGTTTATCTAGTTGGTGTCATTGTTTGTGCCTAGGTCAATTCTAGGTGACACGTAGAAATATCCCCAACGATCAATGAAGTCTCTGCCAAAACAGGCATATCCTGATCGCTTTGTCCAATGCCTATCGACCACTTGAAATGCGTAGGAGTGATTTAGCTCCCCTAAAACATGCCTGAGGTGGCTGTGGTTGAGTCGCAATTGATTTCCTTAAATAACCAGCAAGCAGTCCTTTGGCTCTACTATTGATCGGCGGTGTGAACGCGTGGTGATTATTTGTTATTCACGGGCTGATACCTAACACAAAGGTAAGGCAGAGGGCGCCATTAAATTAGTGAACTCTGATTGGTTTGTCGAGAGGGTAATGATCGACACCTGCTGCGGTCCTGCACCAATCAGTGCCTTGTTTTCCGCTTTCTCTGTCCTTTTTAGTAAAGCCGATGTAGTTTGGCAGAAAATCCTCGCACCCCCTCTCTTCCTCTTCCTTATCTTTTTGCACTGGTATGTGGCTTTTTTGTCACCTTTATCTAGGAATCTGCGTCTTTTTCTCGACCTGCGCCAACCACTTCCCCACCGCATGCAGACACGCCTCTTACGAGGTTGTTTGCCAATTGGGCAAGCTTCCATTTGGTTGTTTAAGTGGTTGGTCTTCAAGGCCGTTGGGTTGTCAAACTCTGCTGCTGGTTTCGGTGCTCTGCGCGTTCCACAGCTAGCCGTCCACCGTAATTGCAAAAAATGGCAGCGATAGTAGGTTGTGTGGTGGTGGTGATTTATTGAATCACTGGAATCGGGTGGCGTAGGGCAGTCAATCAATGACCCGATTTTGACCTTTAGCAGGTGTTTCAGGCATCCCTTTATTGGGTAATTCGGAACAGGTAAAATTTGGTCGGTACAGTAGACGCGCCAAACCCTGATGCTCCTGCTGATCCATCAAGCATTTTTCAAAGTTGACAAATATGCATATCCGTCAAGAATCTTTTCATCTCACCTATTCACCCTTTCCTCAGTTTGGCACGTGGATGGCTAGTACATTTATGGAATTACGAGTAGATTAACTTAAGCTATTTGTACAAATGAATGGGAATGATTCAGGTGTCTGGGCATTCAGGAACGACTAATGCTTTTCAGGATTGACTCAGGGCAGCAGGGGCTGATACTTGTTTCATCTTTATGCTCCACGAGGTTCCGAGGCCCTTCTGAACATTTTGTTCATCTTTCCGAATCGTGAACCTTCCTTGACATTCCAGATGTCCTCGAACTGTCTGCAGTTTGGGAACTCTCTGTGACGTCCTGGAAATAAATTAGGGTATTCCTGTTCTCCATGAACTGTACAACGCTGCAGTTACCCATAGGCTTATCTTGAAGTTGCATTTTTTTCTTCACACTTCTTTTACGATTCACGAAGCTTTGACAGTATTTTAGTATCCATCTGAACCACTTTTTGATCCACAAATCTTCCACTTGGACTAGTCCTACCTTTTGAACTCTTTTAATTATCCTAGATGGAACAGCCTTGATCCACCCTCTGTCTTCGGGCACCCCTCTACGAGCTCTCTTCCAACCGGAGCTGCACCAATTCCAGACTGCCTTTGAAGAAGCTGTCGCTGAAGCTGTCGATGCCGTCGGCTCTGGAGTCGCCGTGGTAGTTGTCGTCTATGCTGGTGAGGTTCTTCACTCCACTGGAGAATGGCTTCTCGCTGACACAACATTCTCTGGGGAGCAGCTGCAGATGTGGCTTGATTCCAGTGCTGCCGCGGTGAGGTTGAGTGTAGATTCAAGAGTTGATTGAGTCGTCTATCGGTTCCTTCACAAGTGGACTTCGTTTTACATAGTTTGGATTAGGTGATCTACAGATTTATTGTACGAACTATCCTTGATTTTACGTATACTACGCTATTTTTGTCGGATGAAAGGATTGAAGGCCTGAAATCTTCAACTTGGCAGATGTTATGGCGCTCGCAGATTATTTTCGGATTTGCATCAGAGCACTTGGCCGGGCAATACATCTGTGTAGAGTTCAAATCTCCTTGAAGTTGTTATTAACTTTGAGTATTTTGCGGGTCCATTGTTTTAACTAGGTGGAATGGTCAGAATGCTAGAAACTGCAACGTCAGTATGATTGCGATTTCTCTAATTACATTGGGTTTGAATTTGAAGCGTTCCCATGTACCACTCAAGCGTTCCTCTAGACTATCATTGTGGCCTAAGAGTGCTTTGCGTATATTTACTGAAAGAATCTGAAGATTAAATTTCTTTGAGCATCATCCTTGAAGCTTCCAGTCGCTGTAATTAGCCTCTGCTCACTCGCCATTATAATAACAAAAATAACTGTTGCAGTCGATGTAAACGTAGCTTTGAAACGCCACAAGGATAAAGGCACCTACGTTGCATTGCGACGTTATGAGATTGTGCCATGGTTTGGAGGTTCCGCGTCCCAACCAGTGGCAGTATCACTGTGCATTTTATTATTATTATTCACTTACTCGTCCCTTCTGTTAGACAGACTGCACCATGGGGCATGGTATTATTTGGGAGGCGTAGAGTCGACATTTCGGTGCTTTTGAACACAGCAGCAAAGATTGTAACAGAATCCGGGTGGGTTGAGTTGTGAACACCTCTGGTCGTTTCACAGCTCTACACACTGGCCACCGCAACAACACCGGTGATATTGGTGAATATGTTGAAGCTATCCACTTACTCCCGCGATAAAAGCGATGGTTATGGTGGCAGAGTGGGTTTATGCCACCGTGGATAAGTTTCCATTTCAGGTAGCTGCAGCAGTACCTGTGCAGGTCTCTGCACTGGTTATGGCGAAATTTCCTCCCTATCGACCAAACTGGATTATATCATTTGAATCATTCTCCATATTTTATTAATTATAATAAATCTTATTCTTTAAATGAGTGGTGAAGGTTTGTCCCTTGGTTATCGAAAGCTACTACAATTTTTGGTCGGTCCTTCCGCTGTCTTCACATAATCCCTATTGTTCTCCCACCCATCGCTCGCACATTAATGGCTTAAGAATGTTAGTGTTTTCTTCGTAGCATCGTTGAATAACTTTTCCACTTTTCGGTTAAAACGGGCTGATAGGCCTTTTATCACCATGACTTTCCGGTGGCAAATAAACTGCCGCCCAATCGAAGGCTAGTTGACGGGCCAGCTACCATGCCCGCCAGGTATGACTCACCCACATCCAAAATGTAGGGCGCCCATGCCCAATCGGCTACCTTGTGTCGCCGTGCTGCCCACTACCTAGACCGCTCGTCCATCTGCCAAGAGAGCTTTGAGTCTATCATATCGTTTCATGTCGCGGCGCGTCCTCCACCACTTTTTTATTGCTCCCTTCAGTAACTTAATGAATTGGGTTAGAGAAGTAAATGCCCATAATTTCGGTTTTATTACTCAATTTTGTTGTGTCGATGGCGGTGTTTGTGACCTTGGGGTGTTGCAATCGTACTGACTCTTAACGCAAATTATTAGCAAACGCTGCTAATGGAAGCAACAAACCCAGGCTTTTTGTCGAAGAGTCGTTAGAATGCGAACCGACGGGATTTCATCCTCTTTAAGCCATTTGGGACGTGCATATAGGGACGAGGTTTTCCAAATATCGAGGCTAGAGTTTCAGGATATTCCAAAAGCCCAATCGATCTTGAAAAATTTGGGTCAGCTAAGATGTATTAATTACCAAACGGTCACACGGTTCCTTTTCACTGTGTTGACAATAAAATCGAACGTTGTACCCCGGACGTCCCTTCAAAGTTACGCCTGGTACTTTTGCGTAAACAATTAGCCAAAGCAGGCATCGGTGGAACAATTTTTTCGGCTGATAAACAACGCACACATACAGTGTAGAAAAGATCACTTGGAATTCCGATTTTGATCCTAATATTGAGGGGATCTATGAAGGTCCGAGTTGAGATACCAAGGTGGTGAACGGTGGCATTGAACAAAAAGTTGGCTATCAGCTAGCATCTAAGGTTATCAAGAATGACCGCTTTTGTAAAGGACCTGACACAGCCTATAACGGAAGTGAGGTAAAGCGAGGGGTCGCCTGCATCGACTGCTACAAGATGGCTTCCGATTCTTAATGTTGGCTACACACCTCGTCGATTTTGATGGATTTCATCTGACCGATTTCATTATTTAATGATACCTGCAATAAATAAGGTGGGTTTTAGGAATTTCATTCCTCCTTTATCCTGCCTCGTCACTTTGGTACAGTTTTATTATTTGGCTGAGTCGTCATCGTATCCTAAAGGTGTTATTTCTCCTTATTTTATCAAGCACTCACTTCAGGATAACTTTGAATCCTCAGAGTAGGTCTTCCTTCATTAATGACCATGGTTCAGAATGTGAGATTAGTGTGTTTGACAAAGGGTGGGGTGGTTTTAGCAGGTATTGTGATTTCTCTCAGGTTCAACTATCCGTTGATTGGTCAATTTCGTCTCAGGGAAGAAAGGGTGAGTAAAAAATGTTAAACGTATCTCACTGATGTAACATTAGAGTTACCTCTGGAGGCTGTGATACGGAAGGGTTGGGAGACTAGTACCAAGAATAGAATTAATTGGGGAACAAATTGAACAAATCGACTGTTGTAAAATGAGTGGCTAAGTGGAGTTGACTTATTCATGGCCGTAGTCCCTTATCCTTAGGCCTGGCAACCCGATATTCAAAAGTTGACCACTGCCCCCAGTGGTACAGAGCCAATCAACATCGTCGTCTGCACCCCGAGCGCCGGTGCCAAGACTCGTTGGCCAATGGCAGCCATCCCCGGAGGTAGCACCCAACTCGTGATGCTCTCCAAGTCTCGCCGTTTGCCTGTACATCTTCAAACCATGGCTTCGTGGAGGGCAAACGGAAAGCTTCCTGCCGCGCCGTCGAATGCCACCGGTAGGATGGTTTCACCAGCTCAGATTGATGGCGATTATGTGGGACGTATTTTCGAGAGAGCATAGCTGCCATTTTGTGGCCGTCGAAGAGATGATTTGGCTGATTTGGTTAAAAAATAGTGCTTAAATTCCGGTCATCTGAAAAGCTATGCCTAATCGGACTTTTGATTCCCGGTAAATAATTCCTAAAAGTGTCAGGGTGGAGGTGGTCTTCTTTGCGCTGCAAATCGTTGGGTTTGTTGGTTGAACGATGTTAGCACCAACAGGCAGCAAAAGTTGCCAGGATATGAAACTTTAGATAGTCGATTTTCAATTATAAAAGTGGAAAAAATCGCGTAATTGTCGTTAAGGTGAGGGAGTGAGCCCTGCTTGTTCTGGTAAATGTAAGGTAACGCAAAAAATCATGCAGTTTTTCATGATAAGAGACGCATATTTACAGACATTTTCCTAAAGTATTTTACTCGTTGAAACGTTCACCTTTACACTCCATCATCCTTTCCCAATGGAATGAAAACTACTCACGAATCCCACCTCTAGAAGCAGGCAGACCTTCACTTCGAGGTGTTGATTATAATCTGGAGAAATGGTAGTCTAGAAAATCGAGAGGATAGGGATAAGGTCTTATTCCTCTCATTCCCTCCCACCCTAATGTGCAATATGAAGTCTTCTTACTGGCAAGTTTTAGACCGGTATGAGATCTTGTATTCTGTTGCCTCGTAAAAGGGGGGGGGGGGAAGGAATTTCTTCCAATTGAATGAACACCTCTATTTGTTGCCCGTTCTTCTTCCACACCTTCGAGTTGCACCGTAATTATTGTTTCTCTATAAGCATGAAATGCCGAGTGAAGGATTGTATCTATAGTGTGCTACCCACAAAGCAGGCTAAATGATGTGGAAATATGTTCGTTAGAATAAAACGGAGAAGCTATTTCTCATGGCAAGTTAGTTGACCAACGATCTAAAAGCAGCGTTTTTATGAAATGCGGGGGTAGTGTAGATTAGAACGCGAACCCCTGATGCTTATCGTCATCTGTTAATGCATGTAGGTGGAATCCATTCGCTTAACAGCTTCCGCCGTGACTTTCTTCTTTCAGTTGACATGGAGTTGGACCATTTGTTTCCTCGCACATGTAAAACACAGCTGCAAGTTGCCCTTGTAAAGTCATTGACTCTCTACTCCAGCCAAGAATGGAGAACCTTTTGCCCTTGATGCGCGCGGTTTGTAGTATCCGCCTTGGAGTGATTCATCAGCCGAATGGAATTTCGTATTTACGCAAGTTCTGCTGTTGCACACTTTTTCCAACTGGAGGCTCCATCCCTTTGATCCGTAAAGCAGACAAGCCTGAACTACGTTCGTTCAGCATAGTGAAGCGTGCTGTACTGGCAGACTGGTGCATCATAATGATGAACAATGCAACGCATTTCAAAAGTTACAAGCCATCGAAGCGAGTCATTCGGAGAATCGAACCAATTTCTTTTCTGGTCACGGCTTTCTGATTGCGAAGCGGTAATTATGGGTGGATAGATGAATGGACGAATGGCCTGTCGCACCTCTTGTTTTCATCATCAACACTCATTTTCGTTGTGGTGTTAGGTGGAGATTGCGTTGACTAGATGTGTATGGAATGGAATGATATTTATGATTGCATGGAAAATTTACAAGAACGTTAGAGAGCTGACTGAGTATTGGGGTTCACTTGTGCTCTGATTTAGCCAGTGTGCAGTGAAAAGAGGACTGGTCAAAGAAGTGGCATCAGCGCTGGATGTGCTTAGGTCGTCTTAGTCGTTGCATTTGTGTTAGGCGAGACCTTTGTCTTTCTGCGTACGTGGAGTGGAATGAGGTTGCGGCACTGAGTCATTGCTGCTTTGTGACTCAGTATGAGGGCCTAAATCTACCCCACCACCTCCCTCCCCCCTTCTACCCCCTCCAACAGTGAAAATTTACAACCCCCAAGTTGGAAACAGTAGGTACGCGTGAGAGGATTTGATTCGCCTTTTGTTTTCTTTTATGAAGGCTGGAAATTGGGTGTTTTTTGTAAATGGTGAGAGATTTAAAAATACTGATTTTTGGAACAAAAAATTAAGGTGCAAATTTTGACTTTGAATTGCGAATTCGTCCCTGGGCCATCGGTCCGTTCATGTGGGCGTCCAGCTGTCCATCCGTTGCTAAAATGAGTTCACGTCAACTTCTATAATTTAATCAGTCGTCGTTTGCCTGGACAGTGATGTGGGACTTTAGGGCACATTTTTTTTAAAAAAGCCATTGACGGAATAGATACACTACTTTCATCATATTCTTCTCTCGTAGCATTTGAAGCCCTGCACACTCTAAGTGGTGAACTGGCGCGTCTGCACTGGGAGCACCAATTAAAATTACTGGCAGAAGCCGAACAGGAATTCACTCTAGCTCAGAGATCCTTCAAGCACGCCCCACCTGCTCTCTATCTGCTGCCCAGCGGTCATGGAGGTGTCCAAACCCAGGCTTGCGGGCTCTTTGTTGTTCAGGGTGTGAATGTCCTTCTGGGCTCAGCTTTCGCCGAACACAAACCGCCACAGTGGTGGCAGCTAGTGCGCAGCCTAGATCGGTGAGTTGGCGACTTATTGGTCGGTCTCGATTTTTGACGTTTTTGTGGCCGTGAATTAAGGTAAAAGCACCATAATTCAGGGCTACAAAGTGTTATCCATGCATTTATCGTGGAGGGTATCCCGCTACTCTATTTGATACTTTAAGGGCTGGAGAGTTTATAGAGGAAGTTAGATCGGCTGGAAGTTCTGAATGGTGTTTATTGACTTCTCTTGGGCCTTGAAACGATGTCGTAGTTAATTTATTAGTCTAACTGGCAAATATTAAGGCTTCATCATCTCTAGAAAAACTGATTTTAGTCACACCTTGAAATTTAGGTACTAACGATTGAAGAAGCGAGTACTATAAAACCACTGGAAGACGCTCAGCAGTTTCCTCTGAGCGTTGAAATGGTCTCTAGTTTGGCATGCTTGAATCCGTTTCTTGTCTATTGATTTTGGTGACCTTTGAAATTCCCTAAAAAAGTAATTTGACATTATGGAAGCTAAAACTGGTCGGCAATTAATTTTGCTCATTAATTGGTTTAAGTAGTCGTGATAAGCGGACTGTCCTGTATTCTCGACAGTCAGACTTCGAGACTCGGAAAAGTAGGGAAGAGTTGATAAGACATTCTGGGAGAATAAAATTCACTTATAAGTCGTGGAACGCCTCCTGTTCCTACAACTTCAACTTGGAGACCTGAAGACGTTCATTGGAGGAAATAAAATGAATAAGGTTATGCAAGGTATTTAATAAATGTCCCGAAAATTGCCTCTAGGTTATTAATACCTCCGCGTCTCAGCCAGAAAAAAACCGGTTTTGATATCGCTTACATAATTACCTTTATTATAGTCTAATAAAACTTTTGATTTGCCGTCTTAAAAAGGTCAACAGGAATTCGTTAATTTCTAATTTATGGCCGTGGGCTCTATTCATAAAATGGGTGTGGTGAGTTTTCTGTTCTTACATTTGAGTACTCAAAAAAGGGCGACAGTTGTTAGAGAATGACCAGCTAAAAATTCTTCTTTCGGGTACATCCGGAACTTTTGGGTTAAGAACCACAGCAACTAATTGGCACCACTGGTATTTAGTGAAATCTGTCCAAAATCTGTCTCTAAATTGGGCGCTTTCGGATCAGGATTCAAAGGTTTGTTTCTGAATTTCAGGGTTAGTATTTATTTAAGTCGATAATTGGGAGGTGAACACCCAATATTCTTGGTTTAGAGTGTACCACTAAGCTAGTCTAGATCGTCTTCTGCCTGTAGATTCCTTAAAGATATAGCATAAAAAAGGGGGTGATTGGGAGCTTTTACTTCTTGTATGGCATGTTTGGGGGTGGAAACTATAGCCTAATCGTCACTAATTCATCTCCTTCCATCTTTCTCCGACCTTCAGTCTAGACGCTGCTATTTTCCCCGACTGGTCTGCCGCAAGCATTCAGAGCTATCGCTTCCTTACCAAACACCTCCTCTACGCTACTTCCGCCTCATACTCCGCCAACTGGCTTGGCTGCCTTTTCACCCCAGCCCCCATTGAACCAGGTGTTGAGTCACCCCTCCTCCTCACTCCGCCAACAACGGCCACGACCACCGCTGACCCTCACCGCCTCCGCTACCTATCTGCTCAGCCGGAACAGACTCGTCTCTTCTACAAAATTGGAGTAGGTGAACTCAGCCTCAAGTATCTGGGCGCTAGCGTCGGTGTTCTACTAGTTTGGCATCCAGCTCCTGGTGAGGGGAAGGCTAAAATAGCTTCACCGTTGACTATCTTTCTGCCAGTGGTTCACTCCCCTGAGGCGTCGGTTTCGCCTGTCAGTCTATTGGCCGGGCTGGTGAGAATGCTTAGGAAGGCACCGGAGACTAATGTGGAGGGCGCTAATGCAATTACAACTGCAACTCCGACAAAGAGGACGACATTGGCGTCGACGGCAGCGAAATCGCCAGGAGTGGCGAGTAGAACAGTAAACAGTACGCCGTCGATGAAAACGCACGTAAAGTGAGTTGGGATGTTGTTAACACTGAGGTGGTTAAGGAATTTGTTATTAGTATACTGATTTTGAATTGGTTTTAGGTTCTTAATAGTTGGATTTCTAAACTAGAAGAAAATTAGTACAAAGAAGTGATTGGACTTTCTAAAATTTAGAACTCGTAAGGCTTTATAAAGCTATCCAAGGACCCCTTCTGCTCACATAAGTCTTGAAAGTTGTCAATGTAGGAAGATAGAGTAGAAGTCCTGAGGATTCATTCATTACCTTTTTCCCAAAGTTAAAGCGGTTTCTAGGTCAAAATCTTCGAGCGTTCACCTGCTTGTCTTCCTCGGTTCATTTGCCGATTCCCAAAGCTCGAGGAGAACTAAATTTCTAAGCACCTCATTTGTGGTTTGAGAAACCTTCCAATTTTTGAAAAGAGTGGTTAAAATTTGTTTATCGAATTTGAACTCCTACCCATAAGCTGTTCCCTGAACATTTTCTGCTTCTGCAAGTCTAATTTTTCAAACTGGCAGCAGAAGAAAAGGAGCCCTGAAAATATTGACTTCATTCTCTGATAATTTGGATTTCACGCCTTGCAGGATGAAGCATCCACCGTTCACTACCTTTCTATAGGTTTCTTTTTGCTTGTGATACTCGTCTTCCAAATTTTGCCAGCCCATCGGTGTATCCGAGAGGTAATCCACTTTTTTCTTCAGAGGCAGTTTAGAGATGACATAAGTCTGAATTCAAAGGATGTGGTGTTGGTAGCATTCTGTATCCTTTCCAGCGGAACCCTGAGAAACTTAACTTCAGCTTCTACAAAGCCCCTGGCTTCAAAGTCCACTCCCACGAGAACCCTCCCATCACGAACCCCGATGACCAGGCCTGTTGTGCCTTCAAGAACCGTGTCTTCTACTACACCGAGAACTAAAACAACAACGATAACGCCTCGTCCGGCAACTTCTACTACCCGTCCTACTACCACCACCATCACCACCCCACGAGGTAGAGCAGCCCATCCTACAACAACCAGACCCTCTACGACGGGTATTAAAGCAAAAATAACACCTTTGTCTAAGAAGTCGCCCGATGAAAAGCGTCCGACACCCACTTCTAAAACCGAGGTAAAGTTGGTAGAACATGCAGCCAAGGTTGCCAAAGCGACTGCGGAGAAAACGGGTCATGAGATCAAGTATGCGCCATCTGGAAGACCCTCAAATCTGCCACCAAGGCGGAAAGTAGGGGAGAAGACTGTAATGGAGGAGTTAAATGAACTGCCAGAGGTAATGAAGACCCCGGCGACGGATAGTCTTGCCGAGGTTGTGAAACAGCAGCAGCAGGGGCAAGAGACGGAGGAGGAAGTTTCTTATCCCGATAGTCTGCGTGCTGAGGAGACAGAAACGAAAGAAGCTGCCATGACACCAAACAAAACAGAGCCAGCAAAATTTGTGGTTAGTGCTGAACACCACGAGGTGCCTGAGGCCGAACCTGTGCCTGCATCTCATGAGGAAATTTTGAAATCGCCAGCAAGCTTAGATTTCGCAGTGCCTGCAGTTGCAGATAATCATGGCGTAATTACACCGAAAGCTGATGATCCAAAGTCACCGATGGGAGCAGGTCTTGGTGTTGAGCAACACCAAGAAGACCTAGGAGTTTCATCGGGATCTCCGATCGAGTCGATAATTGGAAAATCACCAGCTGGAATGGACCTTGCAATGTCTTCAGCTTGTGCTGAACACCACAAAGATCCCGAAATGGAAGTGTCAACATCATCGGTTGATAAGGGTCTTGTGTTTGATTCTGGAGCTGACGAACATCACAAAGAATTTGTAATGTCGAAATCATTAGCTGCTATGGTGACGTTGAAGTCTCCAACAGGAATGGAATTTACAATGCCTCCTGGTGTTGATGAAAATCACGAAGATTTACATGCTCATGAGGTTGGATCAAAGCCTCCTTTTCATGAAGAGGTTTTTGAACCCAAGTCTTCATTCCATGATGAAATCTCGAGATCTTCAGCAGGAATGAAATCCGAAATGCCTCCTGGTTTTTACGAACATCACGAAGACTCCGAAATTTTGAAGTCGCCAGCTGATATCAGAGTTTCTACATTTTCAGTTGATACACATTTAACCAAGCAAAGTGGCACTGAACATCACGAAGAATTCAGGGTTTTACACTCTTCTGGAAGTAAATCAGAGTGCCCAATTCATGAAGAGATCTTGAAATCCCCAACTGATGT